ATCAGCTTGTTCCCCTCTGTCGAAGACCCTTGGACATTCTTTTTGATATTTTCAGGGGTATTGTTAACAAACACGCCCCCATAAAGAAAATTATAATTAAAAACAGGTTCAGCTCGGCACACGCATACTCAGGCTGACTGGCTTTCGTTCAGGCAAATGAGAAACAAGTGCACTCAGGCTTTCTGGAAGGTCAAAATTAGTTACTTTAAGGAGAAGTTCTCTCTCTGTGGGTCTAACCCCAAGAAGTTCTGGAAAATGGTTAAAGACCTGGAGAATAAACCCTCCTCCTCACAGCTGCCCATGTCCCTTAATGTTGATGATGTGGTTGATACTGACAAGGAGCACATGGCTGAGCTCTTTAATCACCACTTCATTAAGTCAGGATTCCTATTTGACTCAGCCATGCCTCCTTGCCCGTCCAACATTTCCTCATCTCCCACCCCTTCTAATGCGACTAGCCCCGATGCTCCTCCCTCTTTTTCCCCTGCCCCGCTATAAAGTTTCTCCATGCAGGCGGTCACTGAGTCCGAGGTCCTAAAGGAGCTCCTTAAACTTGACCCCAAAAATCCATCTGGGTCAGATGGTTTACACCCTTTCTTCTTTAAGGTTGCTGCCCCTATCATCGCCATGCCTATCTCTGACCTTTTTAACCTCTTTCTTCTCTGGGGAGGTTCCCATTGCTTGGAAGGCAGCCACGGTGCGTCCTTTATTTAAAGGAGAGATCAAGCACATCCTAACTGTTATAGGCCAATTTCTATTTTGCCCTGTTTATCAAAAGTGTTGGGAAAACTTGTCAATAATCAACTAACTGGCTTTCTTGATGTCTATAGTATTCTCTCTGGTATGCAATCTGGTTTCCGCTCAGGTTATGGATGTGTCACTAAAACCTTAAAGGTCCTAAATGATGTCACCATTGCCCTTGATTCTAAGCAATGTTGTGCTGCTATTTTTATTAACTTGGCCAAAGCTTTTGATACGGTAGACCATTCCATTCTTGTGGGCCGGCTAAGGAGTATTGGTGTCTCTGAGGGGTCTTTGGCCTGGTTTGCTAACTACCTCAAAGAGTGCAGTGTATAAAGTCAGAACATCTGCTGTCTCATCCACTGCCTGTCACCAAGGGAGTACCCCAAAGCTCGATCCTAGGCCCCACGCTCTTCTCAATTTACATCAACAACATAGCTCAGGCAGTAGGAAGCTCTCATCCATTTATATGCAGATGATACAGTCTTATACTCAGCTGGTCCCTCCCTGGATTTTGTGTTAAACGCTCTACAACAAAGCTTTCTGAGTGTCCAACAAGCTTTCTCTGCCCTTAACCTTGTTCTGAACACCTCCAAAACAAAGGTCATGTGGTTTGGTAAGAAGAATGCCCCTCTTCCCACTGGTGTGATTACTACCTCTGAGGGTTTAGAGCTTGAGGTAGTCACCTCATACAAGTATGGCTAGACGGTACACTGTCCTTCTCTCAGCACATATCAAAGCTGCAGGCTAAGGTTAAATCTAGACTTGGTTTCCTCAATCGTAATCGCTCCTCTTTCACCCCAGCTGCCAAACTAACCCTGATTCAGATGACCATCCTACCCATGCTAGATTACGGAGACGTAATTTATAGATCGGCAGGTAAGGGTGCTTTCGAGCGGCTAGATGTTCTTTACCATTCGGCCATCAGATTTGCCACCAATGAGCCTCATAGGACACATCACTGCACTCTATACTCCTCTGTAAACTGGTCATCTCTGAATACCCGTCGCAAGACCCACTAGATGATGCTTATTTATAAATCCCTCTTAGGCCTCACTCCCCACTATCTGAGGTACCTACTGCAGCCCTCATCCTCCACATACAACACCCATTCTGTCAGTCACATTCTGTTAAAGGTCCCCAAAGCACACACGTCCCTGGGCCGCTCCTCTATTCAGTTCGCTGCAGCTAGCGACTGGTACGAGCTGCAAAAACACTCAAACTGGACAGTTTTATCTCCATCTCTTCATTCAAAGACTCAATCATGGACACTCTTACTGACAGTTGTGGCTACTTCGCGTGATGTATTGTTGTCTCTACCTTCTTGCCCTTTGTGCTGTTGTCTGTGCCCAATAATGTTAGTACCATGTTTTGTGCTGCTGCTATGTTGTGTTGCTACCATGTTGTTGTCATGTTGTGTTGCTGCCATGCTATGTTGTCTTAGGTCTCTCCTTATGTAGTGTTGTGGTGTCTTGTCATGATGTGTGGTTTGTCCTAGATTTTTTTTATCCCAGCCCCCATCCCCACAGGAGGCTTTTTGGTAGACAGCCATTGCAAATAATAATTTGTTCTTAACTGACTTGCCTAGTTAAATAAAATAAAAAAATACAGCTAGGTCGTTCCAGTTCAATTGGCTAGCCAGGTAGCTAGCAAGCTAGCTATATTTCAAGTACAGTAGCTAGCCACTAACTGCCTAACCTTTACGCTTCAGATAATGAGGTTATCAGAAAAAACGTTCAATGGTAGCTAGCTAGCATAGTTCAGACAGGAAACACCATGTATTCGTTTAACCATTTATTCGAAAGATTACAATACATGCAGTACTGTGTCTTGGTGTAAGGCACCGCCAGAGCATGCATCATGTTAAGATAATAATAATAATTGCAGGCAGTGAGCAAGTACGCTGTACCAATCCCCAAAACCGCAGAACCGCTGCCTGACAATAAACCTTATGCAGAAGAGTGCCATTTTAAGAGCTTAAAGATAATTCAGCAATGTCATCTGTTTGACACTGTGGGTGTTTCTCAATATGCATACTATCGTGCTCCACACTCTCATGCTCCTAGTGTATTCTCTGAGGACGTTCTCTTGAGTACGTTCTTGTGAGGACGAGAGTGTGGAGAACACATAAAACATTACATTTGAGAAGCACTCTCACTCCCCTACTGTATTACATTTACATTTTAGTAATTTAGCAGACGCTCTTATCCAGAGCGACTTACAGTTAGTGAGTGCATACATTTATTTTTAATTTTTTCATACTGGCCCCCCGTGGGAAACGAACCCACAACCCTGGCATTGCAAACGCCATGCTCTACCAACTGAGCTACATCCCTGCCGGCCATTCCCTCCCCTACCCTGGACGACGCTGGGCCAATTGTGCGCCGCCCCATGGGTCTCCCGGTCGCGGCCGGCTACGACAGAGCCTGGATTCGAACCAGGATCTCTAGTGGCACAGCTAGAACTGCGATGCAGAGCCTTAGACCACTGTGCCTCATGCTTCACCTCCCCATTCACTGAACCTTCTTCCAGACTGAAACAAGATATACACAAAGCAAACGTTTTACTTCATAATTATCAGCTAGGTATATATGAATCGTAATAATCTAGCTAGCCAGCTAAATAAACAGACAAAAATAACTTAAAACTAATGTTATGCAAGGTAGATGTACATTTTCCATCGGTAGCTAGCCAGTTAGCCTGATTGACTTACTATATGGACTTACCCATTCACTGAACCTTCTTCCATCCAGAACAATGGCAATTGAGACGAAAACAAGATATACACAAAGCAAACATTTTACTTCATAAGTATCAGTATGTAGCTAACCAGACAGTTTCAGGCAAAAATGACCTAAAACGAATGGGTAGATGTCAATTCTTCGTGGCTATCTGGCTAGCTAGCCAGTTAGCCCTATTGACTTACTATGAGCTAGCGATTTACGCCCACCACAGTGGGTATTGTAGGCAGGTACACATGCCAAAATTTAACACAGCATGTATTTATTAACGTGTCAACAAAATATTGTAGTCGGGCAACATATGAGATGTGAATAGGCAACATTTCATTCCGAAGTCGGAGTGTATTTTCTCTCGCTTCAGCTCAAATAATGCCTGTCATTGATTTCAAGAAATGTTGCTTAATTTTTTACGTGGTTGAGTCATATTTCTGTGCATACTTTCAGTGGAAGCTTGCATCGACTCATGCTTCACAATATGTACTAACAGAGTACGCATTCGAGAAGTGCCCTCCGTGCTCCGTTTCGCATACTTTGATTTGGACTCATACTCCGTCCGTCCCGTGCTCCAATTTGCGTGCTCGGAGCACGGTAGGAAGCATTTTGAGAAACCCCATATTTGCACCATAAAAACACCCAGCTCCCACCCCCAAACTACTTCCCGCGGCGGCTATGAGAAACACTGTTTGTGTAACATGTAGATTAAACTATGTGTAGGCTATAGCAGGCACACCTTACTGAAATAGCTTCGCAGAATGTGGCAGTAGGCTTATTTCCCATGTTACTCACTGCCTGGTGAACCTGCCATCTTGGCAAATGGAAATATTCTACACAAACAACACTGCCATAATTGCACTCTGCTAAGATGCTTCTCAGAATGATGAGTAGGGTTATTTTTCATATTACTCACCGCCTGGTGTCTTCGCTGAGGCAAGATGAACCTCCCATATTGGTAAATGAAAATAATCTACACTGTGCTGTAATCACGCCACTGAGATAGCTTCTCAGACTATGAGTATGCACAGCCCAGTGTCCTCGCTGAGGCAAGATGAGCTGTCATCTTGGTATATTACAATATTCTACCTGTGAACCATGCCAACCACCTGCACTGAATGTACAAAACATTAGGAACTCCTGCTCTTTCCATGACAGACTGACCAGGTAAATCCAGGTGAAAGATGGTGGGAGGAGATATAGGAGGACGGGCTCATTTGAAATAGCTGAAATGGGATAAATCGAATGGAGTCAAACATATAGTTCCCATAAGTTTGTATTTGATACCATTCCATTTATTCTATTCCAGCCATTACAATGAGCCCATCCTCCTATGTCTCCTCCCACCAGCCTCCACTGGTACAGATCTAGGAATCAGTTCCCCTCACCTTAGTGGGGGAAAATGTAAAACTGACCAAAGTTCAGCGTCTAGGGGCAACTTCATCTTATACCATCCAAAATAATAATTCATTTATCTGTGCCTCTGAACTTCTCGTCCCTCTGTTTGGTGTGTGTGTGTGTGTTCAGACAGGGGGCTGGAGCATCACTGGGCCCTGGGAGAAGGACAACTTCATGGAGGTGCTGAAGACTGTGTCGGGCACCTACCGCGCCCAGCCCTTCTTCACAGTCAGAGTCAGTGTGGACCCCAAGAACTCCAATAGCAACGTCATCCAGGTCAGCTGCTCTGGTTTTGGGTCTATTTAAAATGAAAATAAATGTGCTAGCACACATACACAAACACACAGGCATGCATGCACACAGAAGCAGGGCTGTTAAGGTAACCGTATTACCGCCACACCGGCAGTCACGAGTCATGATGGCAGTCAAATTCCAGGTGACCGTTTAGTCAAGGCAATTAGGCTTCTCCAAGCTCTGATGCTGTTGATGGTCATTAGTAGCCTACCAAACTTGCTAACTGCCAGGTAGTCAGCACTCTATTGTCCCTTTAATCACTCTGACATCAATGCAAATGTCATCGAAAATCGAATCAAACCCTTCACGAGAGCTCATGTTGCGCAACATTTCTATCGGCTATGCAATTACGTGAGAAAAAAGAGTGATGGCCTCTATTAAAAAGAGGATCCCATCAGCTTTCTATAGGCTAGGCCTAATATAGTGGGGGGAAAAAAGTATTTAGTCAGCCACCAATTGTGCAAGTTCTCCCACTTAAAAAGATGAGAGAGGCCTGTAATTTTCATCATAGGTACACGTCAACTATGACAGACAAAATGAGATTTTTTTCCAGAAAATCACATTGTAGGATTTTTTATGAATTTATTTGCAAATTATGGTGGAAAATAAGTATTTGGTCAATAACAAAAGTTTCTCAATACTTTGTTATATACCCTTTGTTGGCAATGACACAGGTCAAACGTTTTCTGTAAGTCTTCACAAGGTTTTCACACACTGTTGCTGGTATTTTGGCCCATTCCTCCATGCAGATCTCCTCTAGAGCAGTGATGTTTTGGGGCTGTCGCTGGGCAACACTGACTTTCAACTCCCTCCAAAGATTTTCTATTGGGTTGAGATCTGGAGACTGGCTAGGCCACTCCAGGACCTTGAAATGCTTCTTACGAAGCCACTCCTTCGTTGCCCGGGCGGTGTGTTTGGGATCATTGTCATGCTGAAAGACCTAGCCACGTTTCATCTTCAATGCCCTTGCTGATGGAAGGAGGTTTTCACTCAAAATCTCACGATACATGGCCCCATTCATTCTTTCCTTTACACGGATCAGTCGTCCTGGTCCCTTTGCAGAAAAACAGCCCCAAAGCATGATGTTTCCACCCCCATGCTTCACAGTAGGTATGGTGTTCTTTGGATGCAACTCAGCATTCTTTGTCCTCCAAACACGACGAGTTGAGATTTTACCAAAAAGTTCTATTTTGGTTTCATCTGACCATATGACATTCTCCCAATCCTCTTCTGGATCATCCAAATGCACTCTAGCAAACTTCAGACGGGCCTGGACATGTACTGGCTTAAGCAGGGGGACACGTCTGGCACTGCAGGATTTGAGTCCCTGGCGGCGTTGTGTGTTACTGATGGTAGGCTTTGTTACTTTGGTCCCAGCTCTCTGCAGGTCATTCACTAGGTCCCCCCGTGTGGTTCTGGGATTTTTGCTCACCGTTCTTGTGATCATTTTGACCCCACGGGGTGAGATCTTGCATGGATCCCCAGATCGAGGGAGATTATCAGTGGTCTTGTATGTCTTCCATTTCCTAATAATTGCTCCCACAGTTGATTTCTTCAAACCAAGCTGCTTACCTATTGCAGATTCAGTCTTCCCAGCCTGGTGCAGGTCTACAATTTTGTTTCTGGTGTCCTTTGACAGCTCTTTGGTCTTGGCCATAGTGGAGTTTGGAGTGTGACTGTTTGAGGTTGTGGACAGGTGTCTTTTATACTGATAACAAGTTCAAACAGGTGCCATTAATACAGGTAACGAGTGGAGGACAGAGGAGCCTCTTAAAGAAGAAGTTACAGGTCTGTGAGAGCCAGAAATCTTGCTTGTTTGTAGGTGACCAAATACTTATTTTCCACCATAATTTGCAAATAAATTCATAAAAAATCCTACAATGTGATTTTCTGGAGAAAAAAAATCTCAATTTGTCTGTCATAGTTGACGTGTACCTATGATGAAAATTACAGGCCTCTCTCATCTTTTTAAGTGGGTGAACTTGCACAATTGGTGGCTGAATTAATACTTTTTTCCCCCACTGTATATTTATTTCTCAACTTTCCTAATATTAAGCACATTGCTTCTCTTTACAACAGGAGTATAGCCTACCTGGCTGGCATGAAAATTAACCACGGGAATAGCGTCCTCCATTTGCTGTTTAAGTGCATAGATGACATGTATATTTTTCCCCTGCCCCTGTTTAGAGACAGGTGCATGATAATGATCCATTCTAAATCAAAACGAATTTCACACATATATAATTTAGTATATGTAAAGATTAAATCAAGAATAGTCTGATGGGTGACAATATTAGCCTATCACTTGTGAATGATGCCCAGCTTAAGGCAAGAAACATGCCTTTTTTTGTGCCTTTTTTTAAAATCATAGTCGCACACCTCATGTAGCCTAGCCCATAGGCCTATATGTTTTGATAAGGTTTGTATTACAACTAAAGTGGCCAAATACCTTCTTAAAATGAAGCACATTAATCCGCTTTACAACGGGTGTAGAGCCTAACTGGCATACATACGCAGCGTATGAGTTTCAAGTTTGGGGAAGATAATTCTCACCATAAAAATGCCCCTTTATAATAAAAGCATTACATGCATAATCGCATTTGTGTGCTTTTGATAATGGTGTTTTCCTGCTAATGGAACATTGCGCTTAGCCTACTGTCGTGTGCGCATTGCTGCACTTATAATGTGAAGAAATAGCCTAATAGTTTATCAACATTTTCAGCTAAACGTTCTGATCTGTTGCGTCAGCCTCATTACTTAAAAAAGGTTTTTGATGCTAGTGGTTGTATTAATTTGGGATCTATCGCATCCCACAACTGTCCCAGACTAAGTTTGGAATATTTATTTCTCACACAGAATAGAATAGATCAACTTTTGTACTATGGGGGATAGTAGATTGACATACGCTAGTGCTTTTGCTGTTCGTTAGGCCTACTCATCTTGTTGTCTGACGAAAAGTAAATGTGGACAGTTCTTCCAATATCTTCAATATGCACCTCGAAATTGGATAAGGACGTGCGCAGTTGCGTCCCCGATGTTTTTGGTCTTCACTTGTAGCCTGTGAGAAAGACCCTATCACGTGATGGAGAGCCATGTGAGTGAGAGGTGCTTCGGAACGCCCAGCCAGGAGAAGGGAATTATTACATTCAGCCCAAGGGCACAATGGCCACTGGCCGCAAAAGGCATGGATTTTTTTAGGGGGCATTACAGCCACACAAAGGGGACGGCGCCAGGAAATTCGAGGCATTATCAAGTGCTTGTCAAATTGTGAATGAGAGACTGATGAAGTGTGTACAGCCTGCGTAAAAATAAAGCAGAGCTCATGCCTTTCATGCGACTTTCTTCAAATCATCATTAGTCGGATCATGCAGCCTTAGAATGTATTACAAATCAAAACATATAGCCCAATGTTTGAATCACAACTAAAGTTACATTAATAACTCTAAATTAAGCATATAGGAGTACCTGTTTCTTTGTTAACCGCTCAACACAGAATAGCCGCATGTGCGCACTCCCTCAAATCATTTGGAGAAAATATCCTTTCTATTTTTTTCAGCTATGTTCAATTGTATTCTTCATACTATAAAATAATGCCATGAATTCTAAGCAAATCTTGTCTGCTAAATGAACTAGTGTAGCCCACAGCCATTTGGCATAGCCAGATCAGGACCTAACATAAGGACAACTCAAAGTATGCTATTCTGTTCTTCTCAAATAGACTACATTTTCTTCATATCATGTTTCTTTAGACCTGTCTGAAATGTATTGTTATGTGTAGGCTATATTACATGATTTTATGAGACTTTAAAATGGAGGTGTTCCAAAGGTCTGCATCAGTGGCTTGTAGGCTATGCATGGAAGCCAGGAGATGCTAAATGTGTTTGTTCATTAATGCTCAATTACTGTGAGACCGGCAGTTATTTCCTTGACAATCACTGGCTGAATTTTTGGTACGACACCCCCACAGCCCTAGTCTCAGCGGAGGGATGGTGAGAGGCGGACCCTCTGCTGCTCTCTCCTGCCCTCTGCTGAAATTGACCATCAGATGCAGGCACCATCAGTCCAGTAAAATACAAAAAGCGAATTCCTCTGTGCCTCAAGTAATACAACAACACGCGTTTGCTTCACACTGTTACAGTGTGGTAGTCACAGGACCAAAACAGCGGAGAAGTTGAGACTCGCGCTTCAATGCTCTTAGTTGTTGCGGAAATTGACCCAATAGGCTGTTTACTTTCTGCATCTACGTCATATCGCTGAGTCTATACCTTTAAGAACATCAAGTTTGTGAGTGACAACATGCAAAAGATCAGTCATTCATTCCTTTATTGCAGTGGTCACCAACCTTTTAAAATCAAATCAAATTTTATTTGTCACATGCGCCGAATACAACAGGTGTAGACCTTACTGTGAAATGCTTACTTACAAGCCCTTAACCAACAATGCAGTTCAAGAAATAGTTAAGAAATTATTAACTAAATAAACTAAAGTAAAAAAGAAAAGAAAAAGTAACACAATAACAATAACAAGGCTATATACAGTGGGTACCGAGTCAGTGTGCGGGGGTACAGGATAGTCGAGGTAATTTGTACATGTAGGTTGGGGTAAAGTGACTACGCATAGATAATAAACAGTGAGTAGCAACACTGTAAAAACAAGGGGGTGGGGGGGTGTCAATGTAAATATTCCAGGTGGCCATTTGATTAATTGTTCAGCAGTCTTATGGCTTAGGGGTAGAAGCTGTTAAGGAGCCTTTTGGACGTAGACTTGGCGCTCCGGTACTGCTTGCTGTGCGGTAGCAGAGAGAACAGTCTATAACTTGGGTGACTGGAGTCTTGGACAATTTTTTGGGCCTTCCTCTGACACCGCCTAGTATATAGGTCCTGGATGGCAGGAAGCTTGGCCCCAGTGATGTACTGGGCCGTACACACTACCCTCTGTAGCGCCTTACGGTCAGATTCCAAGCAGTTGCCATACCAGGCGGTGATGCAACCGGTCAGGATGCTCTCGATGGTGCAGCTATATAACTTTTTGAGGATCTCGGGACTCATGCCAAGTCTTTTCAGTCTCCTGAGGGGGAAAAGGTGTTGTCGTGCCCTCTTCACGACTGTCTTGGTGTGTTTGGACCATGATAGTTTGTTGATGATGTGGACACCAAGGAACTTGAAACTCTCGAACCGCTCTACTACAGCCCCTCCCTATAGGTTGTCTCATCGTTGTCGGTGATCAGGCCTACCACTGTTGTGTCGTCAGCAAACTTAATGATGGTGTTGGAGTCATGCTTGGCCACGCAGTCGTGGGTGAACAGGGAATACAGGAGGAGATTAAGCATGCACCCCTGAGGGGCCCCAGTGTTGAGGATTAGCGTGGTAGATGTGTTGTTGCCTACCCTTACCACCTGGGGGGCGGCCCGTCAGGAAGTCCAGGATCCAGTTGCAGAGGGAGGTGTTTAGTCCCAGGGTCCTTAGCTTAGTGATGAGCTTTGTGGGCACTATGGTGTTGAACGCTGAGCTGTAGTCAATGAACAGCATTCTCACACAGGTGTTCCTTTTGTCCAGGTGGGAAAGGGCAGTGTTGCGTGCGATTGTGATTGCGTCATCTGTGGATCTGTTGGGGTGGTATGCAAATTGGAGTGGGTCTAGGGTTTCCGGGATGATGGTGTTGATGTGAGTCATGACCAGCCTTTCAAATCACTTCATGGCTACCGACGTGAGTGCTACGGGGCGGTAGTAATTTAGGCAGGTTGCCTTCGCGTTCTTGGGCACAGGGACTATGGTGGTCTGCTTGAAACATGTAGGTATTACAGACTCTGTCAGGGAGAGGTTGAAAATGTCAGTGAAGACTTGCCAGTTGGTCTGCGAATGCTCCGAGTACACGTCCTGGTAATCCGTCTGGCCCCACGGCCTTGTGAATGTTGACCTGTTTAAAGGTCTTGCTCACATCGGCTACGGAGAGAGTGATCACACAGTCGTCCAGAACAGCTGATGCTTTCATGCATGTTTCATTGTTGCTTGCCTCGAAGCGTGCATAAAAGGCATTTAGCTCATCTGGTAGGCTCGCATCACTGGGCAGCTCACGGCTGGGTTTCCCTTTGTAGTCCGTAATAGTTTGCAAGCCCTGCCACATCCGACGAGCGTAAGAGCCGGTGTAGTAGGATTCAATCTTAGTCCTGTATTGATGCTTTGCCTGTTTGATGGTTCGTCTGAGGGCATAGCAGGATTTCTTATAAGTGTTTCGGATTGGTGTCCCGCTCCTTGACAGCGGCAGCTCTAGCCTTTAGCTCGGTGCGGATGTTGCCTGTAATCCATGGCTTCTGGTTGGGATATGTATGCACGGTCACTGTTGGGACAACGTCGTCGATGCACTTATTGATGAAGCCGGTGACTGAATCAAGATCACTTTCTGAGTCAAAATGCAAGTCGAGATCTACTGCTCAGATTTGTTTTAAACATGACCTAAAAAATGTAAGCCTATTCAACAATAACCTATCAAAAATAGTTCTGTAGCAATGAGGTTTGTGCAGTAGGCCATAGGCCCAATACATTATCACTGGCTATGCTTGAATTGCCTGCCAATGTTGTTCTTCTCAGACCATTTTAAAATTATATTTCAAAACTTAAGGTTTGTGATCACGCTGGTAATAGATCAGTTGTTATATTTTACTGGACTGATGGTGCCTGCTTCTGATGGTCAGTTTCAGCAGAGGGAGGGAGAGAGCAGCAGAGGGTCCGCCTCTCACCATCCCTCCTCTCTCCCTCCCTCCGCTGAGACTGACAGTGACTGAAAAGGGACAACGTCTTCCAGCTGATGGTGAAACTCCAAGTTTCCTGGAGCGCCGGAAGAAGATGGCTGCCGTTTTACAGCCCTCTAACCAATTGTACTATTATGTGTGTTTTTCCGCGTTATTTGTAATTTATTTTGTACATAATGTTTCTGCCATCGTCTCTTATAACCAAAGAGAGCTTCTGGATATCAGGACAGCGATTACTCACCTGGTATTGGACGAAGACTTTTTCTTCAACGAGGCGTTCGCGAAGGATATTCTACAGACACCCAACAAGGCCCAGATCCCCGTCATTCGCGTGAGGAAGAGACGGAGATATCGTGGACGCAGATCCGGGTGCCTTGTAAGGATCCGACGGCGAACAAGTAAACTGCCTCTCCCATCAATCCTATTAGCCAACGTTCAAGCTTTTGAGAATAAAATGGACGATTTAAGATTACGGTTATCCTACCAACGGGACATTAAAAACTGTAATATCTTATGTTTCACGGAGTCGTGGCTGAACGACAACAATGACAACATTCAGCTAGCAGGCTATACGCTACATCGGCAGGACAGAACGGCAGACTCTGGTAAGACAAGGGGCGGCGGTCTGTGTATATTTGTAAACAACAGCTGGTGCACAAAATCAAATACTAAGGAAGTCTCAAGGTTTTGCTCGCCTGAGGTAGAGTATCTTATGATAAGCTGTAGACCACACTATTTACCAAGAGAGTTTTCATCTATATTTTTCATAGCTGTCTATTTACCACCACAAACCAATGCTGGCATTAAGATTGCACTGAATGAGTTGTACAAGGCCATTAATCAACAGGAAAACGCTCATCCAGATGCAGCGCTCCTAGTAGCCGGGGACTTTAATGCAGGGAAACTTAAATCCGTTCTACCTCATTTCTACCAGCATGTTAAATGTGCAACCAGAGGGGAAAAAACTCTAGACCACCTTTACTCCACACACAGAGACGCATACAAAGCTCTCCCTCGCCCTCCATTTGGCAAATCTGACCATAACTCTATCCTCCTGATTCCTGCTTATAAGCAAAAACTGAAGCAGGAAGCACCAGTGATTCGGCTAATAAAAAAGTGGTCAGATGACGCAGATGCTAAGCTACAGGACTGTTTTGCTAGCACAGACTGGAACATGTTCCGGGATTCTTCAGACAGCATTGAGGAGTACACCACATCAGTCACTGGCTTCATCAATAAGTGCATCGATGATGTCGTCCCCACAGTGACCGTACGTACATACCCCAACCAGAAGCCATGGATTACAGGAAACATCCGCACTGAGCTAAAGGGTAGAGCTGCCGCTTTCAAGGAACGGGACTCTAACCCGGACGCTTATAAGAAATCCCGCTATGACCTCCGACGAACCATCAAACAGGCAAAGAGTCAATACAGGTCTACTCGTCGGATGTGGCAGGGCTTGAAAACTATTACAGACTACAAAGGGAAGCACAGCCGCGAGCTGCCCAGTGACACAAGCCTACCAGACGAGCTAAACCACTTCTATGCTCGCTTCGAGGCAAGCAACACTGAAGCATGCATGAGAGCACCAGCTGTTCCGGACGACTATGTGATCACGCTCTCCGTAGCCGATGTGAGTAAGACTTTTAAGCAGGTCAACATTCACAAGGCCGCAGGGCCAGACGGATTACCAGGACGTGTACTCCGAGCATGTGCTGACCAACTGGCAAGTGTCTTCACTGACATTTTCAACATGTCCCTGACTGAGTCTGTAATACCAACATGTTTCAAGCAGACCACCATAGTCCCCGTGCCCAAGAACTCTAAGATAACCTGCCTAAATGACTACCGACCCGTAGCACTGACGTCTGTAGCCATGAAGTGCTTTGAAAGACTGGTCATGGCTCACATCAACAGCATAATCCCAGAAACCCTAGACCCACTCCAATTTGCATACCGCCCCAACAGATCCACAGATGATGCAATCTCTATCGCACTCCACACTGCCCTTTCCCACCTGGACAAGAGGAACACCTACGTGAGAATGCTATTCATTGACTACAGCTCAGCATTCAACACCATAGTGCCCTCTAAGCTCATCACTAAGCTAAGGATCCTGGGACTAAACACCTCCCTCTGCAACTGGATCCTGGACTTCCTGACGGGCCGCCCCCAGGTGGTAAGGGTAGGTAACAACACATCTGCCACACTGATCCTTAACACGGGGGCCCCTCAGGGGTGCGTGCTCAGTCCCCTCCTGTACTCTCTGTTCACCCATGACTGCATGGCCAGGCACGACTCCAACACCATCATTAAGTTTGCCGACGACACAACAGTGGTAGGCCTGATCACCGACAACGATGAGACAGCCTATAGGGAGGAGGTCAGAGATCTGGCCGTGTGGTGCCAGGACAACAACCTCTCCCTCAACGTGACCAAGACAAAGGAGATGATTGTGGACTACAGGAAAAAAAAGAGGACTGAGCACGCCCCCATTCTCATCGACGGGGCTGTAGTGGAACAGGTTGAGAGCTTCAAGTTCCTTGGTGTCCACATCACCAACGAACTATCATGGTCCAAACACACCAAGACAGTCGTGAAGAGGGCACGACAAAGCCTATTCCCCCTCAGGAGACTAAAAAGATTTGGCATGGGTCCTCAGATCCTCAAAAAATTCTACAGCTGCACCATCGAGAGCATCCTGACTGGTTGCATCACCGCCTGGTATGGCAACTGCTTGGCCTCTGACCGCAAGGCACTACAGAGGGTAGTGCGTACGGCCCAGTACATCACTGGGGCAAAGCTCCCTGCCATCCAGGACCTCTATACCAGGCGGTGTCAGAGGAAGGCCCTCAAAATTGTCAAAGACTCCAGCCACCCTAGTCATAGACTGTTCTCTCTGCTACCGCACGGCAAGCGGTACCGGAGTGCCAAGTCTAGGTCCAAAAGACTTCTCAACAGCTTCTACCCCCAAGCCATAAGACTCCTGAACAGCTAATCATGGCTACCCGGACTATTTGCACTGCCCCCCCACCCCATCCTTTTTACGCTGCTGCTACTCTGTTAAGTATTTATGCATAGTCACTTTAACTCTACCCACATGTACATATTACCTCAACTACCTCAACTAGCCGGTGCCCCCGCACATTGACTATGCAACGGTACCCCCCTGTATATATAGCCTCCCTACTGTCACTTTATTTTATTGTATATATAGCCTCCCTACTGTCACTTTATTTTACTTCTGCTCTTTTTTTCTCAACACTTTTTTGTTGTTGTTTTATTCTTACTTTTTTGTTTAAAATAAATGCACTGTTGGTTAAGGGCTGTAAGTAAGCATTTCACTGTAATGTCTGCACCTGTTGTATTCGGCGCATGTGACCAATAAAATTTGATTTGATTTGATTTGAAGTCCCGCCGCATTATTTCTGCCACATGCACAAATTCATGTTTTTACTCCTATGACCAAAGAAAGTGAAATATTCCTTCATATTAAAATAGGCACAAGCCAATAACAATGCAAGCCTTTCGATACACTTTGCTACCCATTCATTGCAGCTGCAGTGCTTGTTGAAGCGCGAGTGAAAGTAGGGAGAAGCGCATTGTATGGCTTACAAAAGTGTTGAATTAAGTGTTGACAGAGCTGAATAAAAACGAAAACATTTACTCACTCATAAAAACAGCTGCTCTTTGCTGTATTCGTTGACATTGTCTCTCTAGTCATGGTTTTAAAAGTTTAGAAATCTCACAGTATCAGCTTTGCTGTACGCTTGAGGAAGCTGCAGACACGGTTTTCTGAGCTATCCAAATGACCACCAGTAGGTGTACTTGATTTTCTCTCCGGGCCCGCGGGGTATGGCACATGTTTTGAGGCTATACAGTGTGGGTCCATACTTAAAACTTGTGCTTAGACCGAAGGTTTAGACCTTTGGTCTAAAGTGGCTAGCTACTAGCTTTTCTCATAGGCAAACCTGGCACAATTAGCCGCCTGGCTACCACGAGTCATTTGTATGTCCGATAACAAAATAACTAATCAACCTATCGGAGATCTTAAACAGTAGAGCCACCATCCAATCGCATTTGTTTAACAGGTCAACTTGGCAAACTTCAAGGTTGACTTTGTTACCCTTGGTCTGTAACAAGAAGTGAAGTGTGCCAATATACAGCTAACTGCCAAAATAAAGGAAACACTTGAGTAAATGAGGGATGCAAAGTATTTTGAAAGCAGGTACTTCCACACAGGTGTGGTTCCTGAGTTAATTAAGCAATTTAAACATCCTATCATGTTTAGGGTCATGTATAAAAATGCCCAGTTGCTCATTATATTATGGCTACCATGGCTAGAAGAAGAGATCTCAGTGACTTTGAAAAAGGGGTCTCAAAGGAGCATAGGGGGTTTAAAGGGTGTGTGTGTCCCCAGATCTCAACCCAATTGAACACTTATGGGAGATTCCTGAGCGGCGCCTGAGACAGCGTTCTCCACCACCATCGACAAAACACAAAATTATGGAATTTCTCTTGGAAGAATGGTGTTGCATCCCTCCAATAGAGTTCCAGACACCTGTAGAATCTATGCAAAGGCACATTGTTCTGGCGGCTCGTGGTGGCCCAACGCTAGTGCTGAGCGATTAACCAACATTTTGGTTATTTTTCATTTTTTAAACAACTAATTGACCAACATCTGTTCAATAATTAGAATTCCATTTTGTTCCTTTTTTCTGTGAGCTAAATGCGCATTTTCTCACTAGTTTCTCTACAGATAAATCAGGTCAAGCCCGAACTCTGCGATGTAGTAGGAAGTTGTAGTTTCCAACACCCAATATTCTACATAGTTTAGTGCAGGAAATGTGGTAATTAACTACAATGACCATAATCCATTGCGCACCTAATTGTCCGGAGAGAAGAGAGAATGTACGATTGAGAGGGATAAAGAGCAGTTGCTTTGCGAGGTCTCTCTACCTGAAAATCCATGAGCTACAGTGCCTTCAGAAAGTATTCACACTCATTGACTTTTTCCACATTTTGTTGTTACAGCCTGAATATAAAATGGATTAAATGTAGATTTTTTTTGTCACTGGCCTACACACAATACAAAATGTAAAGCTGAACTATCTTGAGTCAATAAGTATTAACCCCTTTGTTATGGCAAGCCTAAATATGTTTTCTTAACTAACATTTGCTTAACAAGTCACAAATTGCATGGACTCATCTCAAATAATAATCTGTAACGTCCCTCAGTTGAGCAGTGAATTTAAATCACAGATTCAACCACAAAGACCAGGGAGGTTTTCCAATGCCTCACAAAGAAGGGCACCTATTGGTAGATGGGTAACAACATTTAAAAAGCAGACATTGAATATCCATTTGAGCATGGTGAAGTTATTAATTAGGCTTTGGATTGTGTATCAATACACTCAGTCACTACAAAGATACAGGTGTGCTTCCTAACACAGTTGCCGGAGAGGAAGGAAACCGCTCAGGGATTTGGCCAATGGTGATTTTATAGAACAGTTATAGAGTTTAATGGTTGTGATAGGAGAAAACTGAAGATGGGTCAACAACATTGTAGTTACTCCACAATACTAACCTAATTGACAGAGTGAAAAGAAGGAAGCCTGTACATAATACAAATATTCCAAAACATGCATCCTGTTTCCGCACTAACATAATGCTTCAAAACATTTGGCAAGGCAATTCACTTTTTGTCTTGAATACAAAGTGTTATGTTTGGGGCAAATCCAATACAAGACATTACTGAATACCACTCTCCATATTTTCAAGCGTAGTGGTGGCTACATCATGTTATGGATTTGCTTGTAATCGTTAAGGACTGGGGAGGTTTTCAGGATGAAAAAGAAACGGAATGGAGCTAAGCACAGGCAAAATCCTAGAGGAAAACCTGTGTTCAGTCTGCTTTCCACTAGACACTGGGAGATGAATTCACCTTTCAGCAGGACAAGCTGAAACACAAGGCCAACTCTACACTGGAGTTGCTTACCAAGAAGACATTGAATGTTCCTGAGTGGCCGAGTTACAGTTTTGACGTAAATCTACTTGAAAATCTATGGCAAGATTTAAATGTTTGTCTAGCAATGATCAACAACAAACTTTGACCGAGCTTGAAGAATTTTGAAAAGAATAATGGGCAAATGTTGCACAATCCAGGTGTGGAAAGATCTTAGAGACTTACCCAGAAAGACTCACAGCTGTAATCGCTGCCAATGGTGCTTCTACAAAGTATTGACTCGGGGGGGTTGAATACTTATCTAATCAAGATATATTCGTGTTTTATTTTTCATACGTTCTAATTTTTCTTTCACTTCGACAGAGTGTTTTATGTAGATCGTTGACAAAAAATGACAATTAAATAAATTGTAATCCCACTTTGTAACACACATTGTGGAATAAATCAAGGGGTATGAATACTTTCTGAAGGCACTGTAAGTGATTGATAGTTGGCATTCAGCATTCATAAAAGTATGCCTTATTTGCTTTGAAGATCTACTAAAATAGTGAATTTGTCAGACAGCATAGGCAGCAGCTCTATAGAGATGAGATGATGACTTGGAATGAAATAATACAGTGCCTTCAGAAAGTATTCACACCCCTTGACTTTTTTCACATTTTGTTGTATGCCTACGCAATAGTGCACAGCGACAGACAGACGCACGCACGCACACTTGCACAACACACCGTGTCACTGTGTGGTGCTGGGAATAACAGTCTGGTAACACTTTACATGAGCCAGTTCCTTATGTAAGAACAAAACCATATATTGACCATAACGTCAACCAAATCAGCAGTTCAGAGGTATGTGCAGGAGTATTTTTTAAATAAGGTGGTATGGTTCCCCTGTGGTTCTTTCCTGAGTTCGGTATTCATTTGTTTGAGAATAAATATCCAATGGCTTTTGCAAATCAAATCAAATCAAATTGTATTGGTCACATGCGCCGAATACAACCGGTGCAGACATTACAGTGAAATGCTTACTTACAGCCCTTAACCAACAGTGCATTTATTTTTAACAAAAAAAGTAAAAATAAAACAACAAAAAAAGTGTTGAAAAAAAGAGCAGAAGTAAAATAAAATAACTGTAGGGAGGCTATATATACAGGGGGGTACCGGTGCAGAGTCAATGTGTGGGGGCACCGGCTAGTTGCAGGTGCCAAATATGAAAGTGAATGGACTCTGCACACTGCAATTCCTTCTCCCTTATGATTAGTGTGTTTGCTCACCTATTGATGTGTTTCGGCCAGGTGGACCAATCAGGGTTGTTCCTCCCCCCGCAGGACTATGACCACAACACAGCCAATGAAAAGGTGAGTAAAGTTCAGGTGGCTAGAGGGGTGGGTGGGGGCCAGTAAGGGTGGGGTATTTACCTACCCATGGCTGTCAAAATGAGGTACTGTAACAAATTAACATATATTAGATTGATCACGTTTGCAATCATATCGCGTGAAACGATGCACACAAACTCTGTCAGGGTGGAATAGTCCATTATTATGAACCAGTCTGTGGCTGATTTAATGACACTTGTTTTTACTATTATGAGAAAAACTTTGATTATATCCCCTCCCACACATTTTAAGGCGTATCTGGACTACATGGTGCAGCTGGGCCTGCTGTTGGGAGGGGATAAGAACTCCACACAGAGCCAGATGCAGCAGATCCTGGACTTTGAGACGGCGCTTGCCAACATCACCGTATCGCAGGACAAACACTGCGACAAGAAGAAGGTCTACCACAAGATCACCATCACCGAGCTGCAGGTGTGTGTGCATCTGTCGGGTGGGGGTTAAATAATAATAAATAATAATATGCCATTTAGCAGACGCTTTTATCCAAAGCGACTTAGTCATGTGCGAATACATTTTTACGCATGGGTGGTCCCGGGGATCGAACCCACTACCCTGGCGTTACAAGCGCCATGCTCTACCAATTGAGCTACAGAGGACCACGAGAGTGGGAGAGAGAGGAGGTACATAAAGTGAAGTGGATTTTATGTGAGGTGGCTTTTGAGTGGATCAGAACCACATGCCATCAGATCAGGCTGGAAAACCTCTGGGTTTACTCTTAATCAATTAGTCTGTTCTCACCTTTCCTCCTGTCTCCATTACAGTGTCAAAACATGCATGGGTTTTCCACACAGCCCATCCCCCACCAACTCACCCTGAGCCTCTTCACACCTTTGTCTGTGTTTTATTCCTCCTCTGAGGACTAAAACTATCCTGCAGTCCTCTTCTTTGTTTATGAACGCTCTCCTGGTCTTGCCAAGAGCTGTTGCTGGGCCTTTCTATCTCCACAGCTGCAGCAGAACTGCACAGAGATGGTGAAGGGTAGGAGGAAAAGTAGGATCTTCTGTCAACAAATGGACAGGCCGTTGATATGGTGTTGAAGCAATTGAAAGTCAGCATTTGTAGGATGGTTTGAATCATTGAAATGGGTGGTAATGGGTAGATTGTGTATACCACTGGCATTTTTATGGGTTGTTCCACCTAAAAAAAACAAGAAAGAGGATTTCGACACCCACCATCTCAGAATGTTCTGAAATCATTTCTGTTGTTAGAAACGGATAAGATTAGCACTTCTGCAAAATTACTTTGTTGAAATATACACTGAACAAAAGTATAAACGCAACAAGCAACAATTTCAAAGATTTTACTCAGTTACAGTTCATATAAGGAAATCAGTCAATTGAAATCAATTAATTTGGCCCTAATCTTATGCATTTCACATGCATCTGTTGGTCACAGATAAATTTTTTAAAAGGTAGGGGCGTGGATCAGAACACAAGTCAGTATCTGGTGTGACCACCATTTGCCTCATGCAGCGCATGCCGCATACATCTCCTTCGCATAGAGTTGATTAGGCTGTTGATTGTGGCCTGTGGAATGTTGTCCCACTCCTCTTCAATGGCTGTGTGAAGTTGCTGGATATTGGCGGGAACTGGAACACGCTGTCGATCCAGAGCATTCCAAACATGCTAATGAGTGACATGTCTGGTGAGTATGCAGGCCATGGAAGAACTCTGACATTTTCAGCTTCCAGGGATTGTGTACAGATCCTTGCAACATGGGGCTGTGCGTTATCATGCTGAAACATGAGGTGATGAATGGCATGACAATGGGCCTCAGGATCTCGTCACGGTATCTGTGCATTCAAATTGTCATCGATAAAATGCAATTGTATTCGTTGTCCGTAGCTTATGCCTACCCATACCATAACCCCACCCCCACCATGGGGCACTCTGTTCACAACGTTGACATCCGCAAACCACGACTGCCATCTGCCCGGTACAGTTGAAACTGGGATTCATCCGTGAAGAGCACACTTCTCCAGTGTGCCAGTGGCCATTGAAGGTGAGCATTCGCCCACTGAAGTCGGTTACAACGCCAAACTACAATCAGGTCAAGACGACGAGCACGCAGATGAGCTTCCCTGAGACAGTTTGTGCAGAAATGATTTGGTTGTGCAAACCCACAGTTTCATCAGCTGTCTGGGTGGTTGGTCTCAGACGATCCCGCAGGTGAAGAAGCCGGATGTGGAGGTCCTGGACTTACGTGGTTACACATGGTTTGTGGTTGTGAGGCCATTTGGACATACTAGCAAATTCTCTAAAATGACGTTGGAGGCGGCTTATGGTAGAGAAATGAACATTAAATTCTCTGGCAACAGCTCTGGTGGACGTTCTTGCTGTCAGCATGCCAATTGCACGCTGCCTCAACTTGAGACATCTGTGGCATTGTGTTGTGTGACAAAACTGCACATTTTAGAGTGGCCTTTTATTCTCCCCCAGCACAAGGTGCATCTGTGTAATGATCATGCTGTTTTAATCAGCTTCTTGATATGCCACACCTGTCAGGTGGATGGATTATCTTGGCAAAGGAGAAATGCTCATTAACAGGGATGTATTTGTCGCCAAATTTGAGAGAAATTAAGCTTTTTGTGCATATGGGAAATTTCTGGGATCTTTTATTTCAGCTCATGAAACATGGGACCAACACTTTACATGTTGCATTTATATTTGTGTTCAGTATCATTTGATCTCTGAGAAATTAAGCTAACTGATTGCATCCATTTTAATTTATAGGATTAATATAATATTCAATAAATATAGTACCTAACATCTGATTTGGACCAAACATGAGGAATCCAAAGGAATGGCCAAAAACCACCCACGGACCTCCCATACCTCACACCAATCCCATCCCAACAACGAGTATATACAGTAGTATCAGTTCTGTGTCTGACAAGTAGTATGGAGCTGCGGCTCGGAGTATTGTTTCTTCATCCTATGTAATGCATTCCCAGTGAATTTGGTGATAATTTTTTCCACAGGGGAATTTGTAATTGAAGTTGTTAGGTTTATGTCCCATCCTGCTATTACCAGATTCTGACCACTAGATGGTGCTGTTCCTGCTATTAGGTGAAAAAAGTTTGAAGATTCCCCCGACTCAATGTTAAAGGGATAGTTCACCCAAATTACAAAATCAAATACGTTTCCTTACCCGTGTAACCAATGGTTATGGATGAAGACCGTCATTAAAATAAAATAACCATCATAACCATTATTTAAAAAAAATATACTGACTAAAGACGGAACGGCCGGGCGTCCATGCAGTTGAGTCCGTTTCTGCCATAACATGGACCGTTAACTACGTGATGAAACTTTGTTGCTCCTTTCTGAAACAAGCAAGGTGTTATAGCAAACAAGTCTTCAGTTGTCTTGGCACTGCCCTCTGCAATGCAGCAGCAACACATATAACTAGAATGAATAGAACAGGTTTGGAACCTTTTTATTTTTTATTATTTGTAGAAATATTTATTATTATTAGGGTAATTCTTAAATTGTTGCTTTCCTGTCCCCCGCCTTAACCACCAGGAAAAACACTTAAACATTTCAGATAATAATAATAAAAACATTTAAGAGACCATTTGAGTATCGATTGATTTCATTACCTTCTTATTCGTACAGAGCGTAGTATTGAATGGGGCAAACTGATTATTTAAATCTACACTCTGAAAACAAAAGGTTCCTGGAGTATCCTTTAGGGGTTCTTCAAATTGAAAGTTCTGTCCTTGAGCTGTGCTTGTCTACTAATGTTCTGTATTATGTCATGTTTCATGTTTTGTGTGGACCCCAGGAAGAGTAGCCGCTGCTTTTGCAACAGCTAATGGAGATCCTAATAAAATACCAAATACCAAAAACTGTGGGGGAACCCATATAAGTTATTTGAAGAACCATTTAAAAGGGGTTCTTCAAAGAACCCCTTTTAATGGATCCTCAAATAACCTTTTGGAGTACATGTTTGAACTACCCCCCCCCCTCCCCTATTATTATTATTATTATTATTATTATTATTATTATTATTATTATTATTATTATTATTATTAATGTTAATAATAATATGCATAACAACAATAACACTATTTTAGTTCTCAGTGTTTATTATGATTTTAGTGGCAAAGCAGAATAAAAAAATCCAAAATGAGGTCAACTCCCAGCAGAGCCCCAAGTCCAATGGATATATCCTCTGGCATGTTAATGTGTAGGCCTCTACATTATGGACAAGGTATCTGTATGAAAACCATTATCAAACTTTTTTTCCATTAACATTCACCACAAAAACCAAGGTTTGAATACTGTCGTATGCATGTTTTGTAAATTATCTGTATAATTACTATTTTTTGGATTCACAGACTTCACCCTCCCTAGACCTCTGATGAATATAACAGGAAACCTGTTCGATCACCATGCACTGCAAAATCATTATGGCTATGGATATGGAGAACATCAATACATTAACATCAACACGCCAGAGGAAATACACATTGGACTTGGGGCTCTGCTGGGAGTTTACCTCATATTTGGATTTTTTTATTCTGCTTTGCCACTAAAATCATAATAAACACTGAGAACTAAAATATTGTGTTATTGTTAAGCATATTACTAATAATAATAGGGAAGGGGGGGGGGGGGGGTAGTTCAAAAATTAACCCCAAAATGTTCTTCAAAAGATTCTTTGAGAATACATTAAAAGGGTTCTTCAAAGAACTTATAGGGGTTCCCCCACCGTTTCAATTTGAAGAACCCCTAAAGGATCCTCCAGGAACCTTTTACTTTTTAGTGTAGCTGATGCATTTCCTGCTTTTACTTATGCAGGAAAATTAAAGTTAGGCATGTGATATATAAATGTTTAATAGAATTAATGTCAACCTAAAATATTGTCGTATAATTAGAAGTATAGTTTATGCATGTATACAATTTTCGGTATAAATAGCCTCTAAAATAAATGTAAACAGGCCATAAATGTATAGATTGACTGCATTGTTTGACTGGAATATTGGCATATTGGTAGTTAATTAGATAAATTAATGGAATAATGTATCTAAAACTGGCTGGCTTGCTAGCTAACAAACATACAGTGCAGATAATCTTCAAATTCATTGTTTTAAACAATATCCTATCACAGCACTGGCAAACCATGGTTGACCAACTGCCTTACCAAAATGGCTGACCTTTATACCATAAGGTTAATGTCCATTCTCGTATTCTAATTCCTAATTCTATGTGTCTAATGCAATGTGTTGTGCGGATCCAACAATATGCCTCATTAATTGGGTCGATAGACACAATTTTGTGTGTGAAATCATGAAGATATGTGGGACACAGACTCCTTTTGACATGGATTCTGAAAATGTCTGAAAACTGTCCTTTTCACAAGGGTGACCTCTGACCTTTAACCTCTCTCGCCCTCAGCTGCTGGCTCCGGCGGTGGACTGGCTGGACTACCTGTCATCGGTCCTGTCCCCTCTGGACCTGAACGACACGGAGCCCGTGGTGCTCTATGCCAAGGAGTTCCTGCAGCAGGTGTCTGACCTGATCAACAAGACCGATCGCAGGTAAGGACCTGGACGGAACCCCACCTGGTCTTTCTTATCCCCCTACAGCCAAAGGCGCCGTAACGGGTCACGTGGTCATGAAGTACTCCAGGCTCCTCCATAGCTGCAGGAAGTAGGGATGCTGGAGGTGCTGCAGCACCCCCTGATAAGTAAAAATAATTTCATCAAAAACATATCATTATTTTTCAAAAAATTATATTACTCTTGTCTGAACAGACATAAATAACATCTTTCAAAAGTATGTGGATTCGGCTATTTCAGCCACACCCGACTTTCAACGCGGCACTGTCATAGGATGCCACCTTTCCAACAAGTCAGTTCGTCAAATGGAAGTACAGAAAGGGTTTGTCGAGATCTGTGTGGAAGAACTTGACTGGCCTGCACAGAGCCCTGACCTCAACCCTATCGAACATCTTTTGGATGAATTGGAACGCTGACTGCGAGCCAGGCCTAATCATCCAACATCAGTGCCCGACCTCACTAATGCTTTTGTGGCTGAATGTAAGCAAGTCCCCGCTGCAATGTTCCAGCATCTAGTGGAAATCCTTCCCAGAAGAGTGCAGGCTGTTATAGCAGCAAAGGGGGGACCAACAGCATATTAATGCCCATAATCTTGGAATGAGATGTTCGACGAGCCATTTAGTGTGTGTGTGTGTGTTCCTCATATTGTGCAATCTGTGTCTCCATTGGCCTGTGCTATTGTTTGCATGCAAGACCAGGTCGTTTTTATTGCTCTGTTTGTCACTGTCAGAGTAGCCAGTCATTTGTGTGGTATTAAAAAAGATTATAATGTCTTCTATCATGTTAATGAGGTAGAATTGCTTGAATTGTGTTTATAAAAGGCACATATTTTCCTGACCATGCCAGAAAAAAAATCCCCATGTGTGAAAATAAAAAACAATGCCTCTGCTCAACTGTACAGTGCATTCGGAAAGTATTCAGACCCCTTCCCTTTTTCCATATTTTGTTATGTTATAGCCTTATTCTAAAATTCTTATACATCTACACACAATACCCCATAAAGACAAAGCAAAAACAGGTTTTTAGACATTTTTGCTAATGTATTAAAAACAAAAATACCTTATTTACATAAGTATTCAGACCCTGCTATAAGACTCGAAATTGAGCTCAGGTGCATCCTGTTTCCATTGATCATTCTTGACATGTTTCTACAACTGGATTGGAATCCAATGGTGGTAAATTCTATTGATTTGGACATGATTTGGAAAGGCACACAACTGTCTATATAAGGTCCCACTGTTGACAGTGCATGTCAAAGCAAAAACGAAGTCATGAGATCGAAGGAATTGTCCGTAGAGCTCAGAGACAGAATTGTGTCGAAGCACAGATCTGGGGAAGGGTACCAAAAAATTTCTGCAGCATTGAAGGTCCCCAAGAACACAGTGTCCTCCATCATTCTTAAATGGAAGAAGTTTGGAACCACCAAGACTCTTCCTAGAGCTGGCCGCCCAGCCAAACTGAGCAATCGGGGGAGAAGGGCCTTGGTCAGGGAGGTGACCAATAACCAGATGGTCACTCTGACAGAGCTCCAGAGTTCCTCTGTGGAAATGGGAGAACCTTCCAGAAGGACAACAATCTCTGCAGCGCTCCACCAATCAGGCCTTTATGGTAGAGTGGCCAGATGGAAGCCACTCCTCAGTAAAAGGCACATGACAGCCCTCTTGGAGTTTCCCAAAAGGCACCTAAAGGACTCAAACCATGAGAAACAAGATTCTCTGGTCTGATGAAACCAAGATTGAACTCTTTGGCCTGAATGCCAAGAGTCAAGTCTGGAGGAAACCTGGCACCATCTTTACGCTGAAGCATGGTGGTGGCAGCATCATGCTGTGGGGATGTTTTTGTCATTATGGGGTATTGTGTGTAGATTGATGAGGGAGGGAGGGGGAGGAGGGGGGGGGGGGTCAATTTAATCAATTTTAGAATAAGGCCGTAACGTAACAAAGTGGAAAAAGTCAAGGGGTCTGAATACTTTCCGAATGCACTGTACTCTACACAAATAATTTTTCTTCCACTTCGACAGAGTATTTTGTGTAGATTGTTGACCAAAAATGACAAAGCAATTTTAATCCCATTTTGTAACAACATTTTTTAGAAGGTCAAGGGGTGTGAATACTTGACCTGACCATAATGTCATGACAAATGTCATAATGACCTCCTTGCAACCAGTTTTGCCCAGCGGGAAAACAGTCATTGGATTGCCCTAACCAACAGGACGTTGGCTGTCGTTGTTTGTTTGCTTATTCTTGTCACCCACTTGTCCTCCTGTTTCCTCTTCCTCCTCGCCTCTCCCCTTCTATCTCTCCTGTCTCTCCCCGTCTCTCAGCCTGCTCAACAACTACATGATCTGGAACCTGGTGCAGAAGGGTGTGTCCAGTCTGGACCAGCGCTTTGAGAACGCCCAGGACAAGCTGCTAGAGAGCCTGTATGGAACCAAGAAGGTGTGTTTTAGGTTCAATCCTAAATGGCACCCTAATCCCTATGTAGTGCACTACCTTTGACTAGGGCCGTTAGAGCTCTGGTTAAAAGTAGTGCACTAGGGAATAGCGTGTCATTTGGGACGCTGGCATATTCTTACTTATGTCATTGATTAATCCTGCTTTGTGACATACCTGGTTAGGGCCGGTTTCCCGGACACAGATTAAGCCTAGTCCTGGACTAAAGAGCCATTTCAATTGAGATTTCTGTTGAGCATGCTTTTTAGTACTAGACAAGGCTTAATCTGTGTCCGGGAAACCAGGCCTTGCAATTTGTATGCGAGACTGTTTGGGCTCTTAGCAATTAATGTGTGCTTCCTCAACACACTTGCAGTACACAAACTTTTCACAAACAAAACGATAAGAGTAAACAGCTGGTGAGAGACTTGTCTGTCTGTCTCTGTGTGTGTTTTCAGTCCCGCACACCTCGATGGCAGACCTGCATTGATAACACAGATGACACGCTCGGCTTCGCCCTGGGAGCGCTCTTTGTTAAAGCGACGTTTGATAAACACAGCAAAAAGATTGTGAGTTTGATAGGCACACAACTGCATTGATGTCTATTCAAGCCTGTGGTGGGGTTTATTACCACGTGAACGATGCATGACTGCTCCCTAGTGGTTACCATGTGTAATAAAAGGTCATGTGGTCTCACTGTAAACAAAGCCATCATAAAATAACCCTATTTGCTAACACTTTATTATAATTTTCACGAGTAAGCTATTTTAAATTCTTATCAATGTTTATGAATGCCTATAGATGCTTTGTACAATGTTATAAATGCTTATGAATTGTAACACTAATAATGCTGATCGCTTATGCTAATTTCTTACAAATGTTTACAATTAATGAAATACTAATTTAGTTATAGTTCCCTGTCCTGTAGAGGAGCGGGAGAAACAGAGGGATAAAGGAGAGAAAAACTGGAATATTAAATGGAGAGATTGTTATTGGGTAGAGAAAAGAGGGGCAAATAGAAGAGGGAGACATGGAAGCAGAGATGCACAGTGGGAGGACTGGCAAGGGGGTTAGACTGTCACACATAATTGTTCATATTTTAGTGGTTACAAGTTTCTGTCATCCTTTCCTTATGTTTTTGAATTTGATGGATGGGCTGGTTCGGATTGCCGTGGGTATTTCGTTACATGTCAGAGTGTAATTGTAGAAGAAGTATCTATTCCATCTTTCTTCCTTCTTACATTTCATTTATATCTCTCACCCCACTATCAGGCAGAGGGGATGATCAATGAGATCCGTACTGCGTTCAAAGACGCTCTGGATAACATCAAGTGGATGGACAAACAGACGCGGAAGGCAGTCAAAGACAAGGTCATAGATGTCACCTACTGGATAGGCTATATATGGGTGCCAGAGGGTATAGTGTGTGTGTGTGTGTGTGTGTGTGTCTGCGTTCCTGCGAGTGTGTAAGAGGACAGGGAGGGAGGGAGGGAGGGAGGGAGGGAGGGAGGGAGGGAGTATTATTGGGTTCCAGGTTACAATACAGTGGTTTGAATAGATTGAGAGAGCCCTCTTTGTCTAGATCTCCAAATAATGGAACTAGGAGGTTTTCCGGCCCCATTCCTCCGTCTTGCCCTCTAATCCACTTTGTCCCCCTGATCTTTAGGCGGACACCATCTACAACATGATTGGATTCCCTGACTTCATCCTGGACCCTAAAGAACTGGATGATGTTTATGACGGGGTGAGTGGGTGCCTTTTGTTCAGTTGTCATGATTGAACCCTTGTCATTTCAAATGACAAGGGCACTGTAGATCAGTGAGTCATTCTTTCTCTGTCTGTCTTTCTGTTTGTCTATCCGTCTCTGTCCACAGTATGATGTCTCAGAAGACAACTTTTTCCAGAACACACTCAACTTCTACAACTTCTCCGCCAGGGTGATGGCCGATCATCTCCGCAAGCCACCCAACAGGGACCAGTGAGTCTTCATCAGCTACACACATCATTACTATACCTCAGTGCATATTTGAACTGTATATTAACTTGCTTCTTCATCTTAACCAGGGTTGGGTAGGTTACTTTCTAAATGTAATAAGTTAGTTACTAGTTACCTGTCTAATTGTAATCAGTATCGTAACTTTGATTACTTTGTTACTTTTGGATGACTTTCCCTTAAGATTCATTAGAAGAAGACACATAGGATCCATCAAACGCATTTGGTGTGTCATTATAGTGGTCAGACTTAAACTTGCGCCTTTTTCAATACTGAATTGTATGTCAGTAGCTAGGTTTACATCCAATTAGCAACAGATTTTAATGTGAATATTCTAAAATCTGCATAAGAACAATATGCGCATTTTCCCACCAGAGATGGTTTGTTGCAGATTGATTTGTTGCAGATAAAAGTCTGTGCGAGATGACGTAGTGCACAGAAAATTACTTTTGCGGTTAAATTCCCATATACCGAATAAAAAAAGACAAGTTAAATGGGTTTCCATCGCATTTGTAACACTACTGATTGGTTTTCTAACAAACATTTGTGCGTTATATAGCGAGTGTGCACACTCTGGGATTGGCACGTGCAGCACGTATAGCCTACATGATGAGATCATTGTTATTATTATTATTATGGACAAAAGAGGGAGATTTATTTGTATTTGTCAAACAGCAGCCAAGCATAGATTATCATGTCACAAGAATAAAACCTTTGATATTTATTGGAAAGGAGCATCAAGCTCATCACCTTGATACCCATCTCTTGATACTCTCACGAGCCTCAACTGGTTTGCTCTCTTACACACGTTTCCGCCACCTCCCCATAGATGGAGTATGACCCCTCCCACAGTCAACGCCTACTACATGCCCACCAATAATGGCATTGTCTTCCCAGCTGGAATCCTTCAGGCACCCTTTTACGCAAAGGATCACCCCAAGTGAGTGTGTGCATATGAGTGTGTGTGCGCGTGTGCTCGCATTTCTGACCCCATGTGAATTCTCTGCAGAGCCTTGAACTTCGGGGGGATCGGAGTGGTGATGGGACACGAACTCACGCATGCCTTTGGTGCCCAGGGTTAGTGTCCACCTTTAACTTACACTCCACGTAACTCATGAACACATCCTCACAAAACACCCACAGACCAACACACATCGGCATGTATACATATACTGTACATGATATATATATATATATTTATATTCCTTTATCAGGCAGGGAATACGACAAAGATGGGAACCTTCGGCCATGGTGGCAAAATTCCTCTGTGAACGCATTTAAGAATCACACGGAATGCATGGTGGAGCAGTACAATGGGTATACCATCAATGGGGAGCACATAAATGGCAAGCAGACGCTGGAAGAGAACATTGCTGACAACGGAGGCCTAACGGCAGCCTATAATGTGAGTGGGTCTCCCTCCTTGTTAACGCATTACATTTAGTTGCTCACATACATGTCTGTGTAGTAACTCCGTAATCACTGTAGTAATTCTGTACTGTAGTAAAGTTCGGTCATATTGTAACAGTAATGGGTTTGAGCGTTATTGCCCAAATCCATTGCTATGTAATTCTAAAGCAATTACATAGTTACTGCTATGTAACATGTTACTAAGATGTTACTACACAGGACTCTTATTATACTATACTATAACTATAGTATTACTATACTTCACCTCAGGGCCAGCAGAGTGGTAGTTAATGTTTCTATAGTAATGGGGTTTTCTGTTGTGTTCAGGCGTACCAGGCATGGGTGCAGGAGAACGGTGAGGAGAAGAGGCTGCCGGCAGTCAACCTGACCAATGACCAACTGTTCTTTGTGGGATTCGCCCAGGTGGGTGATGGGAGTGTCAACAGAATGCATTACACACATCCTGATAGAGTTCACGTCAAATACACTACATGACCAAAAGTATGTGGACACCTGCTCATCTAACATCTCATTCCAAAATCATGGGCATTAATATGGAGTTGGTCCCCCCTTCGCTTCTATAACAGCCTCCACTCTTCTGGCATTAGAGGTCATTAGTGAGGTCGCACTGTGGAGATTGCATGGCTGTGTGCTCAATTGTACACACCTGTCAGTAACGGGTGTGGCTGAAATAGCCAAATCCATTAATTTGAAACAGTGTCCACATACTTTTGTATATATAGTGTACTGACGAGGAGTTTGCCTGACCATGTCATAGGTTGTAAAAGTTTTTCCTAGTCTCAGGATGAATTCCTGGCCCTACATCATGAAATAAGGAGGGGTGAATGTTTTTTTGGGGTTGGTAGTAAGAGTGGACTATTACAACTACTGTTTGAGAGGAGAAGTAGCAACCAAACTGAGTACAAATGAATGAATTATACAGAGAGAAGAACACTAGCTATTGTCTGGCTTATCGGGGGACCCTCTCTTCTCTCAGGTGTGGTGTTCCGTGCGAACCCCGGAGAGTACCCACAAGGGATTCATGACAGACCCCCACAGCCCCTCAAAGTACCGTGTCATCGGCGCCCTCTCCAACTCGCCAGCCTTTGCAGAGCACTTCCAGTGCCCCACTGGCTCCCAGATGAACCCTGGTCACCGCTGCACGGTGTGGTAGAGCCTAGGCAGAACCACAGGGAGGCGCTGTCTGTGGAGGCTGCATGGAGAACCAAGAGGAGGAGGAGGAAGAGAAGAGCTGAACTCTGCATTGGACCTCTAACTGACCATCGGACGTTTTTTGTTTTTGTTTTTTTCTTTGTACATAATGCTGGACTACTAGTGGTTTGTGAGTAGAGCAGGACAGACTCCAGGTTAGAGAGAAAAGTTGTCGTCTGCTGATGTATGTGTAATTCCAGTGTTAGGGGATGGTATTTTTCCTCTTTTTCCACGCTGCAGTCTCACACACCGGTGGGGCACAAAGACACGTTTTATTTACTGTTTGCTGGACATGGTAGGGGGCCGGGGAGGAGGAGCCACTAGGGGATGTCTGTCCACAACCCTTTCTCTATGCTTCCGTGTCATCGCTGTCCTCGCTGTGTGCCCTGTTTACAATTGAAACTGGAGCCGTCTTTTGACTGAGGGATGTCACTGAAACAACTGTAAGTGCTCAGCTCCCTCTGTGACCTCGCAGGAAGTGCAGAAACTTCACTCTGACATCCCATGATGGAGGTTCAGCTGCCTCTGTGACCTCATAGGAAATGCATAAACGTCAATGCTTCATCTCAAATGACATTCATATTCCCTATATAGTATACACAAATGGACAATTAGGGCCGGGATGATACCAGTATCGCGATACTCGTTAGTATCGTGGCAAGGAAACAAAACACAAAGCAGATTTAACTTATTTAGGAAAACAGCCCTGATGTTGGAAACAAACATTATGTTATCCAGAGTGAAATGTATTTATTTTCCAAGCTATAGCACACAATATTTTACATACAGTTTTAAAGGACCAAAGAGCTCTGCTTCGTGTTTTCATTTTTGCCAGTATCGTCCCGGCACCCTATGCACTATATGTGTGGCTCTGGTAAATAGTAGTGCCCTATATGGGTTGTCATAGGGTATCATTTTTAAATAGGGTGTAATTTGGGATGGAGCCAGATAGACTCACTTTTCTTTTTCTGTTGCTTCACAGTGACATCACAATGACTCCCCCAGCAGTGGCGGGGGATCTTAATACTTTAAAATGGCCTCCCCTCCTATTTACCATGTTCTACTGCTGGACAGATGAAAGCACTATGATAGCCTACTGATAACCCTTGCCACCATATTGCTTTTAGCTATCCCATTTCTAAAAGATTGGTGGCGAGCAATTTGAGTAGCTAGGAAAGGGTACATAGAAAAGCCACTTAACAGTGTTGATCCAACCAGGAGCAGGGTGACGTTGCCCCTAGACGCCGATCTTGGTTCAGTTTTGTATTCTCTCCACTAATGGTTAAGGTTAGGATTGGGGGAGGGGAAGCTGATCCTAGATCTGTACTTCACCCAGGAGCATCCAACCACAAGATGGGCAGAGGTCCCTCTGCGACCTATAGACTGGACTGGGCTGGCTGTGACTCCGGTTGTAGGGATGATCACCACTTGCTTATCTGTGTTTTAGTTGTTGTTGTTGGCATATTCTGAAGTTGACAAAATTGAAATGAGATGCACATCTTTAAAACGGCTTTTTGCCCCCCAAAAATTTTTTTGTACCTTGTGTCCAGTTGATTCTTTGTTTCTCTGTACGCTAAGGGAGTGTATTTCAGTGTGTGTGTGTGTGCATGAGCAGCCTTAGAAGCTTGTTTGATGTTTACTGTGTTTAATTTGTCAGCTTCATTGCGAATGGACAGTTTGTGTATGCGTGCGTGCATGAGCGAGTATGTATGTATGTGTGTCTGTGTGTGCATGGGTGCATCCGTGTGTGGTTGTGCACGTATGTGCACATGCGTGCACGTGTGCAGATTGCTTTGATACACCATCCCCACTTACGTTGAACTATCAACAATGTCAAGTCTGCTGCAGTGATTTTTACCTCACATTCCCCCAAATATACTAATTTGAAATGAATGGGTATGTTGAAGGGATATATTCCTAAATAACTTCTTGTTTGTACACACTCTACTCCAAAGTGATGGGTGACTGTCTTTTCGTGAGGCAGGGTGTGTACAGGATTAGTAATCGGGTTACTGCTGGACTCTTGTTCAATTAAACTGTGTTACTGTTCAATTAAACTGTGTTACTGTTCAATTAAACTGTGTTACTGTTCAATTAAACTGTGTTACTGTTCAATTAAACTGTGTTACTGTTCAATTAAACTGTGTTACTGTTCAATTAAACTGTGTTACTGTTTTATCTCTCCTCAGCCACTTTATGCACTAGTCCTACATTGTGCTTTCCGCTCCTGTCTGCACCTTGGAAATGTGTTTCACTACAAGACATGGAGATGTGTCATGACTCATGAGCATACGAGGACTGCACCCCACCACACTGTACCCCATACAGGACAATCCTATTGTCTTCCGACGGGTGGCACCACTCCAACTCAACACTAGTCCTTCGATGCAGATGGAGTTGCGCTATCTAATGTAAGACAATGAGGTGAAACAATCGGGGTCAGTTGCTATTGGCTGCTTTATATTTCAATGCTGCAATCAGATAACCTCCTGAACTGCTAGTCTGCAGAGTCATAGAAAGAGAACGTTTTGGAAAGATCCGCTGTTCAATTTCACAAAAATAAAGAACACCATGATGCATCCATCTAGTTCATTATAACGGTCATGTTCGTGCATTTTGTGAAATCAAATGTCTAACAGAGAGTTAGAAATGTGTTGTGTAGAATAGACATAGCTAACTATCTGAGCGTTGTGCCCATGGAGATTCAGTGAGCTCCAAAAGTATTGGAACAGTGACATAGTTTTGGTTGTTTTGGCTCAGCACATTGGATTTGAAATGATACAATGACTATGAGGTTTAAGTGCAGACTCTCAGCTTTAATTTGAGGGTATTTTCCTCCATATCAGGTGAACCGTTTAGAAATTACAGCACTTTTTGTACATAGTCCCCACATTTTAGGAGACCAAAAGTATTGGGACAAATTCACTTATGTGTATTAAAGTAGTAAATGGTTAAGTATTTGGTCCCATATTCATAGCACACAATGACTACATCAAGCTTGTGACTCCAAAAACATGTGTTGGATGCATGACTAGTGCAGCTTGGTTCTGCTCAGTTCGGCTCAGCTCAGAAGTGTGAAAAAGGTATTACAGCCTGTCGAAGAGAGCGCTAACATTTTACTTACTTAGTCCTTTTCATTCCTATGTGGAACATTATGCTTTCACGAGAAAACCCCACTGTTACCATCTTAGCGGCCCACATTTCTGGGAGATTATTGTCGCATAACTTCACTTTAGTGACTTTTAAGGCACATGGTTGAGCTCTGATTAGTAGAAATGGGGCTGACTAACTAAACCACCAGGGTTGTGTTCATTAGGGCATGCAACAGAAAACATCAAATATTTTGCAACTGAAAATGAGCATTTCTTATTGACATAAGTCCAGAAAACGCCCTCCTTGTTTTAGTCAATTTCTTTCCATTTGGTGCCTAATGAACACTGTCCTGTCAGTCAGCACCTACTACCTGCTACCACCTCTCCCCATCTCTGTGAGCAACAAATAAGGCAGTCCGCTAACCTTTCAAGCGATCTCTGTAGGAGGAAAACTTCTTAGGACAGGGAGCGTACATGCTTACAGCTGGCGGTCACTTTTGTGTCTTAAGTATGTCAATGTGCAGTGTTCTAGATGCCAGACTCCTACTCGCCTGTGGCTGTGGAGCAGACTGGCCGCTCAGCTCCTCATGTCACTCTACTCCAGCCAGGGTTGGGGTAGATTCCCTTTCAATTATGTTGAATCAGGAAGTAGACTGAAATTCAAAATTCCAATTCCAATTTTTCCCCATAGAAAAGCATTGAAGAGAATTGTGTTATATATATATATATATATATATATATATATATATATATATAATTTTGTTATATCTCTGTGATTGTTTAACATAAGTATGAAATCTTACCCTAACTCATTAACTACCAGCATATGGATGGAAAAAAATCGTATTTATTATGCATGCTTATATCAAGTAGTAAGGCATACCTGCAGAGACATTTATTTTTATTGGAATGTCAGTTTGTCTGAATTGACTGAATTTATATGGATTTGCCCCGAAGTTGGTCAGCAGAGACCATATATTCCACAACATCTCCTTTACCACTGTCATCTCTCTTGTCTAGATTGGGAACATACACCACTAGGGTGCAGTAGAATGATGTAGTTAAAATATGGATGTGACATGTAGGAATCATGCCTAGCCATCAGCATTGGGGTGAATTTAATTTTAATTCAGGAAATCCAGGAAGTAAACTGAAATTCTAATTCCAGTTGTTCCATTGCCACACAGTACACCAACAGTCATTCTGGAAGTTCTCACTTGTCCATGTAAAATAACAGTCAATTTTTTTTTTTTTAAGTATAGAAATCTGAAGTTATATTGTCTGTAAAAGTCAATGTTTTCTCTACTCCGCTCACCATTCAAAGTGATTGAACTGAACCCTCCTTGAACCCATCCATCAGATTTCTGAACATTCTTGATTAGCTACATTTCTTGATTTATTTTGTTTTCTTTAATATCTTGATGTGCAGTATATGTAACGGGGGTCAGTGTGTTGCTAACACCTTTGCATCCTACACTGTCCGACTGCCGCTATTGGGCTCGAACCAGTGATCCTCTGCTTCGCAACACACGTGACCGCCCTACTTGACAATGTGCAAACCGATTGGATGGCTCCTTCCGCGACATTTCAAGCTAGCTGGGGAGTGAGCTTACGGTACATTTAAAGGGATAGTTCACCCAAATTACAAAATTAAATTGGTTTCCTTTATCCTGTAAGCAGTCTATGGACAAGGTATGACCGCTATCCATGCTTTAGTTTAGTTTCTATGGCACCGTTTCCACATGCTAACCTTTTAGCATTTGTGGTGCAAATCCCATTCAAGTCATGGGGCCGATATTAGCATTTTTTGCACATCATGTTCAAATCATCTAAAATGTTAGCATTTTGAAACAGTGCCAGGGAAACTAAACCAAAGCATGGATTGATGTCATACCTTGTCCATAGACTGCTTACAGGGTAAGGAAACCAATGCAATTGTGCAATTTAGGTGA